TCGCTCTATTCTTACCGATAGATTAGGACTGCTTTAACGCCATGTCTTTTCCTTGCAGGGAGTCCATGGTTTGCATAAATGATGCCCGTCCCCACAGATAAGCATTAAAGAAGTCCAAGTTGCTTGCAAACTTAACCCAATCCATATTAATGACTTTTGTTGAGTCAGAAGCCATTAGGATCGAATGCACGAACCATACCAGACACATTTGAACCTCTCTGAAGAGGTATACCCACCTTCTTTTAACCTCTCCTCTAAATCGTGTCCCGTAATAGACGTTTTCTCCTCCAAAACCTTGTTAGCCAAGTTTACGGCTACCCTAATATTCTTTATTCTCTGTTGCTCTGTCGCTTTTTGAAATTTTCCACATCTTAAGCCTGTCACCAAGACATATTCCATCATCCCAAAACATAATGGCTTTTCACGTGTTATACAATCAACTTTTCAACTAATCTTTTCATGTGTATGACAAAAAAAAAAAAAAAAAAAAAAAGGGCTTTTTGTGGTTTCATTGGTTTTGTTTGATTTCGAAATTATGGTATAAAGTTGAGTGGTGATGGTGAGCCAACCTAAAAGTAGTGACCTTTTTCTAATAATAAGCTGCCTAATTGTAAAATGATATTTAATATTTGTCCTTCAATCATCTAATGTTTTAACATTCAATCAAAATATAACAAAGAAAGTAATTTGCCCGTTATATAATAAAGCAACGAAAAATCTAATGCATCATAGCCAACCTTGCAATTTAACACTGCAATTTAACACTTCTAACACAACAATCATAGCCAACCCTGCAAACAATCATGCAACCCCTACAGTCCTATAGTATTCAATTATGGGCAATAATGCTGTCACTATTCTATTTTAAAGTTCATCTGCTCAAATTGATGGCATTTTGATTAATACACTTTTCAATAACAACTATGAACTACAACCTTACTGATATATTTGTCAGACTAATAACATATTGAATCTTAAAGTGCGAATGAATCGAGGTTTTGACTTGAAATATTTTTGAATTCTAGTTAAACTTCTAATAACTTCTAGGTGGTGATGTAGCTTAAAACTTCTTGTTAACAATTGCCATTATGTTTGTGGGAACTTTAAACAGGGTCAATCGGTGGAGGTTCGAGAAGCTGCTGGTTTGCTGTTGAAAAATAACCTTAGAACATCATACAAATCTATGGCTCCTGCAAACCAACAGTATATAAAGTCAAAGTTGTTGCCTTGTTTAGGAGCTGTTGATAGGCACATCAGGTCCACTGTTGGGATTGTTGTTAGTGTTTTTGTTCAACTAGGTGGGATTTCGGTATGGCCTAAACTGTTGCAAGCTCTAGTAAATTGCTTGGACAATAATGACATCATTCATATGGAAGGTGCTATGGATGCTTTGTCCAATGTATATCCTGCTTTTTAGAACTAATGAATCTTTCGGCTGTTAGTTTTCTGCTCTATATTTATGTAATCTATCTCCAAATTATACACATTTAATTTTGTTTTCAACTTCCATATGAATATGTTCCCCACCTTACTTGGTCTGAATCTCAGACTAAATTCTAAAATCTATGAAAACAATCATGCAACCCCTCGCACAACGCGTGCAGTGCATGGCCAGCCTTGCCAATATACAGGGCAGCTCTCCAACTCGCAAAATTCGGCCACCTCCTACCATCCCCAGCCCACCAAACTCCCTGAAACAACCTCCTTACGACCTCCCTTGCCTTCCCCCATCCTTTGGAACCCAAACAAAGCCACTCCATCAATGCCTGCCAACTGCTCGACAAAACACCACAACCACATCTCCCCCAATAAATTCGCACAAATCAATCAATTTTCTCACCCAATTCAAAAAAACAAGTAAAAATATGTACTATTTCTTCACCGCTGTCCTCCTCCTCGCCTGAATTCTCGTCGGCGTCTTCCTCTTCAGAATCGTTTTCCCATTCATCTCTTTGTTCTTATGCCGCCGTCGCCCCCTCTGCCTGTGGACCACCTTCACTCATCGGATGATCCACCAGAGCGTCGTCTTTGACAACATTTGAACTGCTGGCGCCGCCAGAGTTTAGGATTTAAAATGGGGTTGGGTTTTCCTCCTCTTTGTGAATGTCAGCCATTGTTTTGTGTAAGGAAGCTTTAGGATTGAAAATTGCTGGAATTTGGGCATTGTAGTCACTGAAAATCGTAGAGAAAGGAATAGTCTTTGTCAGTCATTTTTTGGCTAACAACTTCGATTAAGCGATTTTGAATGGGTGGGGCTTATTTTCAAATTTCAAAATTTAAACAACTTTTGTTAATTATCATTTTACCCACATATGTTTAAATCTTTTTAGTTTAACCTATTTTACTTGTTTAATGAATCCTAAGTGTGCCATGTCAACTTTTCTAAATTAAAAAAAAAAATCAAAAACATTTTCAGGGTCATTTTGTTAAATGCAAACTTGGGATGTCTGGGGAGTTAACTTTTCTCTAACAAATTGCCCTCCCACCTTCCGTGCAACTCTCAACCTCCAGTTAGCCTTTAGTGTCAACCGCCCCCCCTGACACCACCAACTACTTCCCCTCACCATCCCCACCAAAACCATGACACCATTTAACCGTGCTGCTCGTCGCCCGTCGCCCAACAATCTTTTCTTTATTGCGTCGCGTGACCCCATATCGCGTCCTGATAGTCCTCGAGCCATCGCACATAGCCATCATCAAGCCTATTGGTCGAACCCTGTCGCTGCCTGTTATGTGCCAACCACGTGACGCCCGTAGTTGTGTTGCTTTGATTTTTGATTGAATCAGAGTTTGATTGAGTTGGTTGTGTGTTTGAATCGGAGTTTGGTTGAATTTGATTTCTATTTGGAGTGTGATTTGTTTGTGATACAACTTCCCTCACCGTCAACAACCCCACTGGTCTCCCCTTCACTCACCATATGAGCCTACACAACACCCCCCCAACCAAGTGTCACTGCTAGCCTTCTAACTCTGCTGCCATCACAAGATCGTGCCCTCCTCCCTTCTTCATCTCCCTCTCCTCCCGTCTTGCTTATCTTTGTCATCTTCACCATGCATCATTTGGCTGAATTGATGCTTGCTGCTAGAAGAGATTGAGAGCCGAACTGAATTGCTTGCAAATTAGTGTGAGTTCCATTTTGTAGCCATCTGGTTGGCCTAAACTTCATCTCTAAACCTACAATTTTAACGATAATTTAGAATGACCAAATTACCCTTTAAGTGTTACATTAGACTATTTTCTAATAATTTAAGGGAGCGCTTGGATCATATAATGTTTTATTATAGGGGGATATTATATTAACGGAAAGAAAGATCACCTTGAAGATTACTAGGAATGTTTAGAAAATGTGTTTGGTTGGTTCGAATAAATTGGTGAATAATATGTTTGGTTGGGAGGATAAATGCGTGGGTATGTTATATTGATTACTAAATTGCCCACCTTTTTAAATATTAATATAATTGTATTTTTTATTATTATTTTTTGAATCATTTCTTTTAACTCCCTACATTTGAAATTTTGCTAAAACACCACAACCATATAAAACTTTAATTTATAGCAAAATCACCCCCACCCACCCCAAGTCACTGTCGGCAGCCAACCACCACCGCCGGTAGTCGACGAAATGGTGCACGACTGGCCGTATATGGCTGTTCGTGCGTTGGAAAAGCCAGAATGACCATGGATCACAAATCCATGGCCGAAAAATGGCCAGATTTATGGCCATTTCACGGCCACATCGTTGGCTGTGAAACAGCCATAGAAATGCCAAAACTAGCCATCTTCGGCCATGGATCTGTGATCCATGGCCAGAAAAGGCCTTATCGACGCACCACTGGCTAGATCCCGTTGACCGTGCACGATTATGGCGACTGACGCTGACGGCCGGTGGTGGTGAGTCACGACCGATGGTGGTCTTGGGTGGCTGGGGGTATTTTGTTAACTTTTAAACTTTTTTATGCTTGAAGTGTTTTAGCTAATTTCTTAAATGTATGGCGGCTGGGTGATTGTTATTTGGTAGACATTTGACGACAATTGTGTTCAAAATTGTTTTTAATTAAGGACAAAATGGATAGAAAAATTAGATTACCCCGATAATATTTTAATCCCAGGGGTGGGGGAGGGCATCAGATTACCTCCCACATTACCAATAGTAAACACTATTTGTAATAAAAGATTTCTGTAATATTTTATTACTTGCAAACCAAACACTAGAATCTTGTAAAATAAACAAAGATTACCTATGTTATCTTATATACCCCGATCCAAACACCCCTTAAGGGTAAGAATCTGGAATTTATAAATCACTTTACCTTCCGTGGGAATATGTCATTTACTCTTAAGTTATTAACTAAATACTAAAAATGGTCGATACAAATTGATAATATCAGTTGAAATTTCCATCATGGAGTTGTGTCTTTTGCAAGAAGCTTGTGTGTTTGTGCCGATGATCATCACAGTCGGTAGAAAGTGTTTTTATCACTTAGAAGGGTAATGCTGAAACAAATAAAGAAAATAGGGGAATAAAAGTTCTTTTGCCACTTTTTCAATGATCAATGTAAGATGAAGTTCTTGGGAAAACATTGTGTTGTCTTCAACACAAATTAAAGAAAGATAAAACACCTATTCAAGAGCCAACACTAAGGGGTTGACTTAACGATCAAGAAACGTTCATTGACTTTTTAGGTTCGAATTATCTTGGAATCACCTATCATATTTGTGGTTTACCTTGAAACATTAGAGTTGTAAGGTATTTAACAGACCCAAAAGATTAGTTAATATACGTGTAAATTAACCCAAACACCTTGATCATAAAAAAAAAAAAAAAAAAAAAAAAAAAAAAAAAAAAAAAAAAAAAAAAAAAAAAAAAAAAAAAAAAAAAAGAGGCCCAATTGTCAAGAAGACTCGGTAGTGTGCATCAAATAACAAGGAATGTATACTGTTAAAAAATGGCCATGACTCGTTCTGGGCCAAGGCCCACAACAGAATTTACCACCTCTGAACCCCCTTTGAAAATGGAAGGGGAAAGATGATGATAACGAACAGTCGAACAGAGAGAATGTTCCAAATTTAAATTCAAAAACAGATGACATTGAAATTGAATCCCAATCTTTTGATGGGAACACAAACACTACTCCATTCACAGATTTACCCCCAGTTACAAACCCATTATAATTACCATTACACCCTCATCGTCCCCTCCAAACTCAGATCCATTTTTGCAAACACATACTCTACATTTGCGAGCAGACGTATAAGTACTGGTAGAGCACCAGAGATTAGGGCTACTAAGGTCTCGGATGCTGCACAATTCAAGCAAAACTGGCTCGATTCTCTCACTTCCCCTCCTCTTCAAACTCAAACTCAAACCCTTGATGATTCTAAATGGGTTCTGGGTGTCGACCCGGATCTTTCCGGTGCTTTAGCCGTCTTGAAAACCGACCACACCGGTTCCTCGGCTCAGGAAATTTACTGCCTTTCTTTAAACATTTAGTTAACTTATATATGTTCATATTATCATTTCCATTATTAACTTTGACCTTAAATGTTACAAATATGTGATGTTGTGAGTTATTAAGAAACTTGTTATTTGTTTTTCGATGTTAAATGTTGTTGACATGATGTTGCGTTATGGTCCGTATTATGATTGTCAAGTAGCATTGGAATGTGGTTTATTGCAAGTGGCAACCAGACATGGTCCAGGTGTCTACCAATATAGTATGGTAGGGACCTTTACATGGCTGGGAAAGAAAATAAAGGCGTTCATCGTTGCTTGATAATCAGCATTTAGTGATTAGTCGAGCTACATCTGGACTCCACATTTCTTTCTTTCTTTTCTCTTTTCTTTTTTTGTAAATCTCTTTTAGTGATTAATTCGGGCATTGATATCTTACAGGTATTTGATACTCCGCATTTGCCAGTTTTAGTTGGTGGTAGAGTTCGAAAACGTTTGGATGCCAAGTCTATTGTTCTGTTGCTTCGTAGATTAGATGCTCCAGTTGGTATAACACTATGTTTCTCCACACTCTCTTCTCCTCTCCTCTATCTTCTTCCCTTGTGGTGTTTGTGTTTGTTTGGGTTGGAGGGTGGGGTGGGTATTCAATAATGGCCACACAATATAATCTTCTTCGGTTGTTAACTTACCATGAAATGATGCCTAATAATATATGATATTGGTTTCCGTGCAATGCAGTATTTGCCAACAAAACTGTACAAATGAGTGGACAAAGTAGTTAAATTATTTTAGGTTGCCTTATTTGCTTTTGTAAGCTTTCGTACTTTATTCTAGTCTTCAAAGGCCATTCTTTCCCGCTCCCTAAAGATTATAGGGTTCAGCAGGGTCGAGAGATTTCTGGTTATTGAAAAAAAAAAAAACCTATAAAAGAATAAACTGCATCAATTTTGTTCTAAGCTTCACTTTTTCAGTTGGCCTTAATCTATCATTTGGAATTCCAAGATTTTTGAATTATGCTTGAGATGTATTGATATTGGTATATATTTTTTTTCTTTATATAATTGATTTCGTAATCAGTTTTTTTGAAGTTGAATTTCTCTGTACTTGATGTACTTTCTAGGTAACGAGTTTTCTTATTTTATCTGCAGTCTCTTTTTATATTTATTTATTTTTATTTTTTGCTATCATGAAGAATATGTCTCCTTGTGACAATACTTTATATTTCTTTCTTCAACTTTTGTGCATTTGTAATGATTTGTGATTTTCTTATTCTAGGAACGACTGCATATATAGAGCAATCAATCCCTTATCCAAAAGATGGGAAACAGGTTTGTGGCAATCCCTCTTTTTAGGTGATTTCATTTGGACTTTTCCAATTTCTTTCTTGAATGATGGTATCATGTTTGTGTATCTGTTTCTTGTATCTTTCATATTTGACCTTAAATTCATGCCAACATTTTAACAAAAGTTATAGTAATGTGGTTTTAGTATTGCTTAGTCTTATGAAATCTTTAGTGAAAGCAAATGAAGTAAACAAATATTCCTTCTCTCTCTTCTTTTTTTTTTTTTTTGAGAGTATCGACTTTTTTTTTCACTGAAGGGTTGGTGGAGTGGAGGATTTGGATATGGATTATGGATTGGGATATTGGTTGCCTCTGGCTTTTCTGTAGTTCCAGTACCATCTGCAATGTGGAAGAATGAGTTTGAACTCTCAGGAGGCATGACTATGAAGGTTTGTATCTATGTTCACATTATTTATTTACTAAGAATTCCTCGAGCTCTCGAATGAGTATATAGAGTCCTAAACTGGAGACTTTTTTTAGTCCTCAAAGCCAATTGTTAACTTCCAAATCTTATTTGTCACTCATTGAAATCCATGAGGAAAGGTTTGCAAAAATAATAGTCAAGAAAGCTGCAAAAGGTTGAAGAATAAATAGTAAAGTCACTAGGACTCTATATGCAAAGAACTGCATACTTCATGTGAGCCATAGAAAATTGGCTTAAAAAGGGACAATACTAGCTAAAAGACAAGGTGGCAGTGTGGATCAAGTCATGAGAGACAACTTTTCTCAATTAACAATTTTGATTGCAACTCGCGTTCACTATCACATAGAGAAAAAATCTTCCCAGTCTCCATCTACAAATTTTCAACATTAATCTATGTTACACACCATTTAAACTGATTCAATTTGTTTTCTTTTCTTTTTTAATTATGAATTGTGTCCTTGCCTCAAATCATGTGGAATTCATTGTAGAGCTTTTTTGTTATACTCACGTATGGGGTTTCTGGCTTTCTTTCTTTATGGCAAGAAGTTAATAAGCCTTTATAAGCTTTATCATTTCCCTTTTTTGTTGCAACACTCCTTATGTGGGAAACACTGTGTTGCTCCCTTTTTATTAAATTCAAAACTTTTGAATCAATTGGATCTTATAAACCTCCTTTATTTGTATTGATGATGAATTTTTTGGCAGGATGATAGTAGGAGGCTTGCGTCCACATTATTTCCATCTTTGAGTTCCCTACTGCAACGGAAAAAGGATCACGGTACATTGTTTGGTCCTCTTTGCTTTATAGTATGCTATCATGCTTTTAGAAAAAATGTATTTCATTTATTGGAGTGTGAACTTGGTAACCTCTGCATATCATCTGCATTTTTAATTTATTTTTTCAACATTACTTTTTCAATTAATTTTATTAGTAGAATCACATAAGTGAAGAGATTGTTGTAAGTTACATTCTGGCAGAGGAAATGACAGCACTAAGCTAGTTGTGCAGATCATTTTGTGAGCTAAAACTTCCCTACATACACTTTTCTTTGTGAAGGTACATGAGTGCTATTGTACTTAGTCTTTGTGCTGACTGCCTGATTTGCAGCGATCAAACATTTCTAATGATGAGTTACCCCTTTTCAAGGATTATCGATTGGAGGCGAGCCCTGATCTCTACAGATCTTCAAGGAGCCCTTTACGGTGCTTGCTTGAGTGGCCCCTTCGAGTTCTTTTCAGTTAGATCTGTAAAATTATATCAGTTGCTATGTCTCTCTAGGCTTTCATAAAAAATAAAAAATAAAAAATAAAAAAACTGAAATGAGGAGTAAAGTTGCTGCATCTTGCCTCCAAAATTGGCATGTGAGTTCATTTGTCTACGATTTTGTCTCCAATTTTGCATGTATTGTTCCTGAAGATGACGAAGCATCTTGGCTTGAAAGTGGCATTTCTTATGCTCATTCTTTAAAAAAGTTATTAGAATGGGGTGACTGTGACTCTTCTCAAATGTTTGATGGCTGCACAAATACGCAGCCGTCGCAGGAGATAACTAAAATAAGCTGCCAACATCATTTTTTGTCAGGTTTATCACTGCATATAACAATCCAACTAACCATCAAAACTAGGAGACTTCTCCTGAAATGTTCATTTACTATGCAAGCCCACCCATTCTTGTTTTTATTAACTTCCATCTCAAGTTAGAATGCTCTTTCCCAATTTTATTTTCTTGATTGCAGGAAGGGCTGAGGCTCTTCTGATTGCTGCATATGGAAAAGGTCTGAAGTTAGACTCATCAAGCCTGTCCGAGGAATTGGTTCCTTCAAATGAGGAAGTTATCTTTTCAAACGATGTGATATCTTGTAAAGAATGATCTGCTAACATAAAATTAGCTTCTCGGTACATAGACCTTGATTTGCTTTCGGCTTCTGAACATCAGTGAGGGTGTCGAGGGATGAATTATTGCAGGAGAATTAGAACAAGAGATGCAAGTAACAAGAAGAGACTTTTGAGGATGGCTGTATATTATGACCATTCTTCACCGGAGTCATATTGTTGTTATAGAATAGTTGTTACTTGTTATTGTAGCTCTGAGATCTCAGTGTAGTCTAGTTATAGTATATGTAGGAATTGTTGAACTAAATAACTAATATCGATCTTTGACTTTGAAATGAAAGTTGGAGGTTTTTTATGCGGGTTAGAAATACCCATTACAGTTCACGTGTAAAAATAATATTACTTGATTAAAAATGTTGGTTTCTTTTAGGAAAATAGATTTGATCAATTGTTTTTGCTTATTATGGCTGAGAAAAGCACTTCAAGTTGAAAATATGATTTATATTTACACATCCCAATTTCTTGTTCTCCGATGATTACATCTTTTGGATGGATAATCTTTTATGTAACATATTGAGCAACCCTCCATCTAAAGTAAAGAAAAATATCACAGGGAATAGGAAGAACCAGAGGCACATAAAAACATTATAGATGTTGTCTAATAATGCAAAACCCAAAGCTTAANTACTTAGTCTTTGTGCTGACTGCCTGATTTGCAGCGATCAAACATTTCTAATGATGAGTTACCCCTTTTCAAGGATTATCGATTGGAGGCGAGCCCTGATCTCTACAGATCTTCAAGGAGCCCTTTACGGTGCTTGCTTGAGTGGCCCCTTCGAGTTCTTTTCAGTTAGATCTGTAAAATTATATCAGTTGCTATGTCTCTCTAGGCTTTCATAAAAAATAAAAAATAAAAAATAAAAAAACTGAAATGAGGAGTAAAGTTGCTGCATCTTGCCTCCAAAATTGGCATGTGAGTTCATTTGTCTACGATTTTGTCTCCAATTTTGCATGTATTGTTCCTGAAGATGACGAAGCATCTTGGCTTGAAAGTGGCATTTCTTATGCTCATTCTTTAAAAAAGTTATTAGAATGGGGTGACTGTGACTCTTCTCAAATGTTTGATGGCTGCACAAATACGCAGCCGTCGCAGGAGATAACTAAAATAAGCTGCCAACATCATTTTTTGTCAGGTTTATCACTGCATATAACAATCCAACTAACCATCAAAACTAGGAGACTTCTCCTGAAATGTTCATTTACTATGCAAGCCCACCCATTCTTGTTTTTATTAACTTCCATCTCAAGTTAGAATGCTCTTTCCCAATTTTATTTTCTTGATTGCAGGAAGGGCTGAGGCTCTTCTGATTGCTGCATATGGAAAAGGTCTGAAGTTAGACTCATCAAGCCTGTCCGAGGAATTGGTTCCTTCAAATGAGGAAGTTATCTTTTCAAACGATGTGATATCTTGTAAAGAATGATCTGCTAACATAAAATTAGCTTCTCGGTACATAGACCTTGATTTGCTTTCGGCTTCTGAACATCAGTGAGGGTGTCGAGGGATGAATTATTGCAGGAGAATTAGAACAAGAGATGCAAGTAACAAGAAGAGACTTTTGAGGATGGCTGTATATTATGACCATTCTTCACCGGAGTCATATTGTTGTTATAGAATAGTTGTTACTTGTTATTGTAGCTCTGAGATCTCAGTGTAGTCTAGTTATAGTATATGTAGGAATTGTTGAACTAAATAACTAATATCGATCTTTGACTTTGAAATGAAAGTTGGAGTTTTTTTATGGGGGATAGAAATACCCATTACAGTTCACGTGTAAAAATAATATTACTTGATTAAAAATGTTGGTTTCTTTTAGGAAAATAGATTTGATCAATTGTTTTTGCTTATTATGGCTGAAAAAAGCACTTCAAGTTGAAAATATGATTTATATTTACACATCCCAATTTCTTGTTCTCCGATGATTACATCTTTTGGATGGATAATCTTTTATGTAACATATTGAGCAACCCTCCATCTAAAGTAAAGAAAAATATCACAGGGAATAGGAAGAACCAGAGGCACATAAAAACATTATAGATGTTGTCTAATAATGCAAAACCCAAAGCTTAATCCCAATTTCATATGCAATTGTACACAAGTATATTGTCCATTCACACATGCCAATAGGCCCAATACCATACCATGTCTCCACGGGTGAATAATTGCAGACTCTTGAAAACCCTCTTCCAGGGCAGGCAGATAAGCTTTCATCAAAACAAATCTTTATCTGGAATTTAAAATTATATGCTAAAAGTTCTGGTAAGAAACCCAAATGAGAACCAATAGATAAATTTGAAAAAGTAGGATTGATGAATATGTAACCATCGGTAATCATCAGACGGATAGCATATCATGCCTTTTCTTTTTCAATATACTACATAGTAGCTACCCCGCCGCCCCCCCCCCCAAAAAAAAAAAAAACAATTCTAATCAGTTGATTAGCAAGATAAGATAAATTCTGACTACCAAGAAATTTGCTCACCGAACTCAACTGGTCCTCTAAATTACTTTTTGACCAAAATGAAAAATCTGTAACTGTTTTTTCATGTTTCCTATTCTTACCCATATTTTCTTCTGTTTTCGCTTGAAAAGTTGTCATTTGCAATGCGTTGGCATGTCTATTTAAGTGTCACCTGAAAAATAACTCCTTCAAGATTTCCAACAGCAGAACGAGTTCCGGCTATTTCATTTATCAGCATTCCATGACGAGTAGCTTCACTGATAACCATTGCGTCCATCCTGCCCACAAAGAACAATATAATTGAATAAATATAAGATTACATTGCAAAGTTATGTTTAGTGCCTCTGAAATAACTTGGTATTAATAATATTTGAAATGATCATATACTGTAAAGTCAAACAGCTCAAAATCTGAGTAAAGTGTAATCCAACAAGAATATTGACTTTAATATGATTATATTCATAATTTAAAGAGAACAATTTTCAAAACGATGATAAATGTTAGTGATAGAAGTACTAGCATGGTTTAAGAGCTTTTACCAATAAAGAAAATTAGTACCAAAGAATTTTGGCTTCGCTGGTTGAGGCATGTAGATAAATTCTAAATAATGATATTCCAAAAAAAGAGGCAACCACAATGCAAGACTCTAATGGTAATGGTACATAGAAGTATTACAGAAAGGGATCTTGAACATACACAGAAACCTCTGTACAGCATAATCAAAGAAGCAATAGTTATGGCATCGTCCAGAATTTCGTAAAAATAATGTTTTACCAACTAGATATTCTAAAGCTTCAAGAGTTAACAACTGGAAAATATGTACTTTCAGAAGGTTTTTGACAAAAATTCAAATACATTTTTTTCTTTTAAACTTTTATTCATTCTGTTTTGTATTAAAATATCAGGTAAAAGTGCAAAGACAATATTAAACCCTAAAACATAAGCAGTGCATAATTTTATTTTGTTCATTTCATTAAACAATGTGAACCAATTAAAGCATTTGAGTCAAATCAGTTTAAAATATCAACACTTTTCAACAATTAAACACATCAAATCAGTATCTGGGAAAGGTATTCTGCATAAATGTACAAAGGCTAGGTGTTCCTTGATAAAATAGATGAAACACAATGAATTGCTATATTATTACCATTTATAAACATATAGACAAATGACCATACAGATCCAATGAGAGGAAACCTGAATATGTCCAAATTTGCGAAGATGGAAAAAAAAGAATTATGAATAGGTACGTACATCTTCGCTCGGGATACATAGGCTAGAATGAATTTGCACTGTCCTGTTTCCCTGATGCGGAAAAATTGTTCTACAGTGTCAAATAGTGGGGGAATGCTCGACTGTTGAAAGCTTATACACTGTCAAGGGAAGTTTTAGCATCAACCAATAAAGGATGCAGGGGCAAAAGGCAAAAGAGAAAGCAAAATTCTTTATTTGAAAAAATGATATGATTTTCTTGGCAAAAGTAATTTAGCACCAGCATTTAGCAGATCTGTTAAAAAGTGGATATAGTGGCATGATCATCATGTCGTGTGAAACACACAAAAAATTGGAGACAAGATTGCAGATGTTGGTTTCACTTTATTCTAGCAACTGACTCTACTCCCATTTGATTCGTATTGAAAGCTTTATCAATCTTAGGCTCAGAGAACCATTTTATATGTTTATGACTTATTTTTGTTTCTCCTATTTGAGTATATATTTCTTCAGAAAACTGAGTTAATAACATAAATAATAATCTGGGACACTGGATATAAATGTCAGCTCCAAGAATTAGATCAAATCCTCCAGAATATTTGTGTAAAATTTGGTTGATCTGATCAGAATTTCCCCATTCTAGCTTCTCAACTCCTAATCCTGCATAAAGGAAACAACCAAAAGACATCAGCTCATACAAATATTTTTGTTCCTAATTAAGATTCTTTTCCTCACCAGCTTTACAACTAGGATTTTCCATAGATGTATGGAGATCTATATTTTTCTTCAGTATCTGAAAAATGTATGGATAACTAAAATAGTCAAAATTAAGAAAATTACAGATGAAGCCGCCAACTTTTCTAGTTTAATTTTTTTGAACTTGCCTTGAGCACTTCATCATTATGGTCAGTTAAAACAACTTCACGGCAAAATCTGCTGCAGAGTATGCCAGTAATTCCTGTATTCCAGAAAGCAGCCATCAGACATGTCTTTTCTTCTACAGGAATACCAAGTAATGACCTCCAAGCCAAAAATGCTACCATGGTCAGACTAAAAAAAGGGTCATTAAAGTGAGAGGTATTACGCATAAAAACAAGTAGAAAGGAATAAAGCATGGAAGGCTAAGGATTGCATTTGTCAACCATACACACTCTGAAGACACATTGATGACTCTAGTCTATTGTATGCTTTGCTTTCCCAACTAAAGTTTTTCTTTTCATTTGTGTGTGTGCACACATAGTTACATTATACACACAGATAAATAAACCATATTTGTCATCATGATCTTATATGTGTATGTATGGATGACTGTGTGAGATTGGCAGGTGTTCATCGTCCTACTAACTTTAAATCACGTGTAATGATCATGTTTTCTGGATAATATGAAAACCCATATGAGTACCTGCGCAACTAGGTAGAACAGTCATTTCATATCATTCTATAAATCTCCAAATATAATTATAAGATTTATCTAGAAATTCAACTTTGTTCGCTAACCAATAAGTGGAAATACTTTGGATTTTCAGATCAGTAAGTAGACAAGGCAACAGGTAATACTGTTGATAGAAAATTTACCAACACCAGAGCCTAATTCAATAATAGAAGATCCTTGAAGCAGCTCAGCGTTTTTTGAGATGTAATCATTCATAAGCATAGCACCAGGCCACACCAATTGTCCTGTCAAATCAAAATCAGCTGTTCCACAAATGGTTAGATCGTTTACTCACTCTAATCATTTATCAATTACATACATTGCAAGAAAATGTAGTGAGATCATCTCCACCCAGCGTAACATACGCTTTTCCATTGTACATCTAAGAACCATTAAACATATGATTAACTCTGACTAACAATTCAAACTCAAACTCTTGCCCTGTACAGGGAGATGTGGTTTTAGAAACAACTAGATCATTGTAATATTTCCACCGGGCTATTGAAGTTAGCTCTGGCAAAAGATTGATTGTTCACGTCCAACATTGGTATCATTTTAACCATATAATGAACTATGGAAAAATCGATAAAGGGATTACAGTTCCGTTTGAAGCACATCATGATCATACAACGCAACACTTTGCCCCACTTCAACTCATGCCAGTTACCATATACTAAAATCTAAACTTGAAGAAAAAACACTGCAACAATTGTTGTTTCTTAAATCCAACGAACTAATTATCTCCATGTTTCACATGATTCCTGCAAATTGTGACATGGGTTCTTAACACAAACAAATAGTTTCTAGGTTTGT